CATTTTTGACTACCACACCGTCGGAGCGAACGTCATGTTGTAGATCTTTACCAAAAACTTCTTTGAATCCTTGAACACACAACCGTGCCTTGTATTCTTGAGGTTGGTTTGATGATTCGGGTTTTATTTTGAACACCCATGTACAATTAATAGGTTTATCAAAAGAAGTTTTCTCGATCACGTCCCAAACTTCATAGTCGCCCATATTGTTCCTTTCTTTCACTAGAGCAGCAATCCATTTGTCTTTGTCGGAAAGAGCCATCACTTGATTATAAGTTAGAGTGTCATCTTCAGAGAGTGTTGTATTAAATGACTCCACAGGCACTCCCCTACGAGAATAGGAAAGAATATTCTCAGGTGAAATGTCTCCTATTATTTCATTTGATGGCGACAAAGGTTCTTCTAGTGCGTGTTCTTGATTAGGAAAGGGATGGAACTGATCGATATTATCATCTTCTTCCGACGGAATAACTTCAAAAGGATTGAAGTAAAAACTCGATTCATCCAAGGATTCGTTGGAGAGCGATGGAAAGATGGTCTCGTCGAATGTGACATTACGAGTGGTGCAAAGAGTCTTTGATTCTATTCTTATAAAGCGATACGTGGAAAAATCATCTCCGTAACCAAGAAAGATCGCTTTTTCTGAATGAGGTAGTAGTTTATTTGTTCTAACCTCCTCAGGGATAAGAACGTAGGCCATGCAACCAAAACATCAAAGCTTCAAAAGATCAAAGTCTTTTCCAAAGAAAATTTTGTAAGGAATTTCAAAATTTCTTGTACTTGATGGAAGAAGATTACACAAGTCTGTCGCTGTAACAACAGCTTCCGCCCAATATCGAGGAGAGAGATTTGCTTGAGCAAATAAACATCTGGCTTTATCTAGAATAGCTCGATTCGATCTTTCAGCCATACCGTTATTCTCTGGAGTATAAGGTGGAGAGAATTGATGCGAAATGCCACGATTACAACAAAAGTCCTTGAAGAACAGATTTTTAAATTCTCCTCCATTATCAGAGATAATACGCTTAATCTTGCGATCAGTCTGATTCTCAGCCCAGATAACAAACTCCTCGAATTTGTTGAGAGTTTCTGACTTGTGTTTTAGAAGCTTGATTGCCTTGAAGCCCGAGAATTGATCAACGATCGTTAAGAAATATTGAGCTCCCCCAACTGAACGAGTTTGGAATGGACCGACTAGATCAAGATGAATGGCTTCAAGCACTTGAGAAGTAGGAGCAAATTTTCCTTTAAAAGGTAATTTGACCGCTTTACACATTTTGCAAGTAGTACAGTCGACGGCTACTGCATCATCGATTAGTTTCTTGAGATAAGGAAAACTAGGATGACCCAGTCTGGCATGCCAGTCGATTGAAGAGTTGGGTGACGCCGTAGAAAGATACAAGGAGAATTCTTCTTTCATTGCAAAGTCATTGGTAATTTCTAACAAGTTATTACGAACAGTACCCGACAAGCTAAAATTATTATCGAAGTTGATCTTGAAGGAATCGTAGGACTTTGAAAGCGAAATACTTTCATCGAATAGGCGATTGAGGGAAATAAGAGGCCTATGAAGATCAGGTGCGTAAAGAACGTTGTTGAGCTTGACAATTGAACCGGAATCATCGGAGATATAGGCTTCCCCCGTCGCAATCGCGGAAATTTTTTGATTACTGCCGGTGTGAATGTTGATGTTGACATCTTTCTTTTTTAAGAAAATTGAAAGATCATTCACCATATGGTGAGAGGCACCGGAGTCAAGAATAGGAGCTTTCTTATCTACCGCAGCGTTAAGATAGGCCGAGACTTCGATGACTTCTTCTGTGTCCTTAACTTTTTCGTCGTTGTTAGCTGAAGTTGCATGAGCTTCAGGATCTTTAGGGCGGAGAGCTTCGCGTTCTTTGACAGGCAAATTGAAGCATCGCCAAATCGGGTGAAAGGCCAACGGATTATGTTTCCCTGGAGAACACGGGTGAGCCGGTGGTTGTTTTGCCTTATCCGATTTTTTAGACTTGGGTTCGGCTTCAGATTTATAAGCAGAAGGACCAACGACTTGGTTTTTAGAACTAGATTCGACCTTTGAAACGCCTGATAATCGAGTACTAGTGTTTAGCGGCGGCTTCGCCGCCTGCTCTCATTCATGTACTGTTACACTCAAATCCATTTTACAATTTTGAGGCCGTTGGTGTCCGCTTCGATGGGTTACAAATGAGGAAGCCCAGTTGGGGTTTCAAACAGCCACAGTTTGATGCTGTTATCACCGCTGGCTGTGACAACTACAGGCTGACCGGGTAAGAAGTATACGTTCAATCTGCCGGAATCATGTGCTTTCCGTATGATGTGAAGTCATTGGCTGCCCTCATTAACATTCCAGATGACCAAGTGGCCTTGTGATGAGCTGGTGACTGTCATCTGGGTATCTGAATCTGAGAGAGAGCGAATAAATCAATCGGGGATACTCGCTTCATTAAAAGACATTATGTGTATGCCTAACCTGATCGAAAAGTAATACTGGTGATAGAATCCAAAACGCCATTAGTTGAGAGGTTGGAACCATCGGACTGCCCCATCTTGAATGCAGGATTGATTGGATTCAAGTCATCAGTATGTCTTGTCGAAAGCGTGAAACAGAGCGATTGAGATAGAAGACAACCTTTTGTGTCAAGATTCCAAACCTGGACAGTTTTTCCGCATGATGATAGACCAGCAACTTGATTTCCAAATAAGATGAATTCTTGGATTGTGATGTTTTGAGTGTTGACTTTCTTGAAATGATCAATCCAGCATTCGGGTACAAGATCGGCTTTGTTATCTGAATTGTCGCTCGATGAGTCGCCAGAATGAGTTTTTGGCTTGATGTTTTCAATGTGCCAATGACGCGAGTGCGCTTAACATATGATGAACATCAAAAAGGAAGTAATAATAGTCGATGGAGATAGGGATCACGCAAAAGGAATTAAATGCACAAGATGGATGAGGTACAAACGCAAGAAGAGAAATTGTTCAGAAATATTTTATTATGGATTTCAAACATTTGTTGCCTAAAAAGATGCAGTGTCGAAATGAGCAAGAGGCAATGACTTTGGTGAACAATCGAGAGGCAGTGTCAAAATGATTCAAAAGGCAATGCCCTTGGTGAACTGAGGATAAAAGAGGAAATGTTGAAATGATCCAAAAGGCCATGCCCTTGGTGAACGGATGAGGAAGGAAAAGTCAAAGAAGAAGTGAAAGAAAAGCCGAAAATTGAGAAGCATGGAGGGGGAGGAACCGGAACAAAAGAATGAAAATATTATAAAAAGAGGGGGCAAAAGGTTGCAGTTTCCCCCAAGCCCAGGGTCAGTAGGAGAATGAATGTCTCTTGCGACATCGCTAGTAGCGGTACCTGTGGAAAATGAGACGGTTTGAGGTTTAATGTTAAACTTTTTAATCTTTCATGTAAACGAGCTCTCTCAACTTCTTAAGAGTACGACTAGGAAAGAAAATGATAGCCTCGTTCATAATTATGTTGTCGACGACATTCCAGTAATCCTTAGAAAGTTTTGCTAGGATAGAAATAGAAATTATGTCATCGGGAATACCAAGTTGAACAAGCGCACATTCCCTAATCATTTTTTGACAGTCGGCAAGGTAACTATTAAGATTGCCGTTAAATTCATATCGCATCCATTTTAGCCAAATTCGGGCTTTGTTGTTGACCGACGAAGAAGCGTATCGCTCCACGATAGAAGCCCAAAGAAGAGCGGGATTTTCCTCGTTTTCGGGAGTGACAGTAGCATCGAGAGCTTCTTCACTGAGATGGCTAATGATAGCGTTAAGAGTTTCATTCCTCTTCTTTTTAGCCGGGGTTACCTCGCCAGTGCAAATTTCCCAGAGATCTTTGCTGCGAAGATAGGCTTTCATCCTTACTGACCACGACGGATAATTGAGATCGTCAAGTTTTGGAATCGACGAGTTGGTCGATTTTTCCTCAATGTCCGACATTTTTGTGATCGTTTCCTGTTTGAGCGCCGTACTGATAATGTGAAGAGATTTGGCTAGATAAAACATTTATTTCAGTAAGAGAAAATTAATAGAAAATAAATAATAAAATAGGGCCTTAATAAAAAAACCCGCATTTTCCGCGTTTTGACGCGGTTTCTGCTGCGCGCAGCACACGCGCATTCCGCTTTTAAACCCGCTTTTTTAATTAATTTTTTACCGCTTATTTTTTGAGTTTTTTTGAATTTTTAAAATTGTTTCCTATGTTTTAAAGCGTGTAGAATTTAATGGTAAAAACCATTTTCAATAAAAATGAATTTTGATTATTAATTATTTTTTTTCACTCATTTCTCAATTAATTGTTTGCAAACATGTTTGTACCTTATTTTTTATGCTTTTTTGAAATTTTAAAATTATTTCCTAGGTTTTAATGTGCGTAGAATTTAATGGTGCAATCCAATTTTTTTAAAACTCTACGGTTCATTTTTAATACTGAAATTAGCCCCATTTTGTGACTTAATTTTTTACAGGTTAATTTTCATTATTTTTTGACATTTTAAATTTATTTCCTACACTTTAAGACATTTAGAAAATTATGGTAACAACCATTTTTCCCCAAGTTGAAAACTATACCTTGAATGCTGCATTTGACACGTTTTTTTAATTAATTCATCACTTTTTCACCTGATTGTTTGCATACATGTGTGTACCTTATTTTTTATGCTTTTTTGAAGTTTTAAAGTTGCTTCCTACATTTGAAAGTGTGTAGAATTTAATGGTAACATCCAATTTTCTTAAATCTCAACGGTTCATTCTGAATACTGTAATTAGTCATATTTTTCAATTGATTTTTAAGAGCTTAATTTTCATTATTTTTTGGCATTTTAAATTTGTTTCCCACACTTTTAGACATGATTAAAATGATGGTAACTATCATTTTTCATAAAAACCAAAGAATGTTATTGAATACTGTGTTGGACATGTTTTTTTCAATGTTTTGTTAATTGCTTGTTACCGGCTGGTTTTTAATCATTTTTTGAAATTTTACATTTAAAAATGTGTAAAATTGAATGGTGAAGTCCAATTTCCCTACAAATACAAGCTTCAATCTTAATACATGAGTGTACCCCGTTTCTTGCAAAATTTGTAACGTATACAAATTTTATTTGAATGAAAAATGGATACAGCCAACAATTTTGAAACCTTTAAAAGTGTAGGAAATGAGCTGGAAATTCCAAAAAATAAGCATAATTGAGCGTGTAAGAATTAACTCAGGAAACACATCAAAGGCATTATTCAAGATATAGTTTTCATTTTGATGAAAATTCATTGTTACCATAATTTTATACATGTTTGAAAGTGTAGTAAACAAATTTAAAATGTCAAAAAATAATGAAAATTAAGCTCTTAAAAATCAATTGAAAAATATGACTAATTACAGTATCCAGAATGAACCGTTGAGTTTTATGGGAATTGAATGTTACCATTAAATTTTACACACGTTTAAATGTAGGAAACAACTTTAAAATTTCAAAAAAGCATAAAATATAAGGTAAAAAAACTAACGCAAACAATTGAGTGAAAAAGTGAATAATTCAATTAAAAAACGGTGTCAAATGCAGTATTCAAGATGTATTTTTCGTTTTGGGAAAAAAAAATTTTGATACCATCATTTTCTACATGTCTTAAAGTGTTGGAAATAAATTTAAAATGTCAAAAAATGATGAGAATTAAGCTGTAAAAAATTAAGTCAAAAAATGGGGCTAATTTCAGTATTAAAAATGAACCGTAGAGTTTTAAAAAAATTGTATTGCACCATCAAATTCTACACACATTAAAACCTAGGAAATAATTTTAAAATTTCAAAAAAGCATAAAAAATAAGGTACAAACATGTTTGCAAACAATTAATTGAGAAATGAGTGAAAAAAAATAATTAATAATCAAAATTCATTTTTATTGAAAATGGTTTTTACCATTAAATTCTATGCGCTTTGAAACCTAGGAAACAATTTTAAAAATTCAAAAAAACTCAAAAAATAAGCGGTAAAAAATTAATTAAAAAAGCGGGTTTAAAAGCGGAATGCGCGTGTGCTGCGCGCAGCAGAAACCGCGTCAAAACGCGGAAAATGCGGGTTTTTTTATTAAGGCCCATAAAATAAAGAAATAGTAAGAATAAAATATTACCTAGATAAAACAGGAAACAGGTTTAAGGATGATGAGAAAAGAAATGAATAACTGTCGATGACTAGGTAAGTGACTTAAGAAAGATAAAGAATAATTAGAATCATATAAGTGAGTTCAAGGATATAGAAAAGAAAGAAATAAGAACCTCTGAAAATCAACCAGAATGAAGAAGTCCTCGGCGAAGATGAAAACCAGAGACTTGAAGATGATGAAGTAGAAAAAGTATAAGGTGAGATGAAGTGTTAAAGTTGGTTAATAATAATGAGATCGAAGAAGTGAAAATGATAATAAGTTATCTTCGATGTAGGACACAGTCAACAAAAAAGAGAAAACAGTAAAAGAGAAAGCAATGGTCAACAGATAGAGAGAGAAACTAGTACGAGAGACAACCAGCTGTGAAAGATCACACTCCTGATCCTATGACATCATAAGATGTATGCGCCGCTCCTATGACATCACAAGATGTAGTCCCAACACCGTGAACCAGATTCCAACACACTCTGGCAAGATGTGTAGCGATTCCGGATCTGCACATCTGCCTGACTAGTGGTGCCGCATCCTTGTTGATGAGGTGAACCAGTTCGCGATAAGATTTTTGTTCAATGAGGCAAAAGGAAAGGTTGCACTTGGCCAGAAAGTATACCAGTGCGTTCTTCAGGGATTCACTATTGAGTTGCACCTGATATTGGAGTTCTATAGATGAGGATTCAGGTTGCCAACAAGAAGCATAGAAAAATTGAGAATAACAAACAGAAACAGTGTACCTTTGGCTTGCATTCACCCTTCTTGGCCCACGTTCTAATGTCAATATGGCTCGATTTCTTTGTCTTCTTCAGGAGCTTTGGATCTGCCAGTTTGTGCATGTTGTAAAGGTGTCCGTGGAGATTTTTCATACTTTTGCTCTTGTCTCTCTTCATTGAAGCCCCACACAATTTCCCACCTCTTTGAACAACTTGACAGACAGCCAGGTTCTCCGCCTGAGGTCCGACTTCTTCTTTGAAGTGGAGCCACACCCAACTTCGCTTCAAGGATTGACTTTTGGTAGGATTTTTGGAATCACTATCATCCATGTCGACATAGTTTACTTCATCAGAGTCTATTTCGATTATATTTTGGTTTCCGGATGGTTGGGAGGATGTGGGCTTGGAAGCTTTTGAATTTGGAACAGGAGGGGAGGATTGTGCAGCCTTGTGCTTCATACTGATGGCTGATCAAGAATTAGATAAGAACTAGTTAGTGGGTATGAAGGCTCCACTCGCCTTGTGCAGCACAAGTCTGAAAAATGCCTCAGGACATCGGGGCATTGGGACATACCCTGATGTATTCAGGGTCTGGGGTTCGGTTTGACCCTCACACCCCGGCCCAAACCCCGGGTCACATGGTAGTGCTCATGGGTCAAACCAACAGCTCCACCATACTGTGGTGATACATCATGGTAGCAGACTATCATACACCTCAACATGACTCTTAAAATTCATTTACCACTCACTCAGAGCATCCGCATCAGTTGTTAATTTAGCGTGGATTAAGGCACTTAGTCCAGCCTTGCAATCGCACTGGGTCCAGATTACAACAGGATCAACTTGACTCAGATCTCCATTTGGAGCTAGTAGGGTCTAAATCTAGACCTCACTAATCCTGGGAGCAAGTTCTCCATGCATATTCAAAATGCATGAAACTTTCCCATAGCTGCAAACTAGCTCCAATCAAGTCGGACAAACCAAATTTAAATTCATAAGCCATAGAGACTACAAAAAATCTTGAATCACATTCTGCAAATGTGCGGTAACATCACACCTCAAATTTTCAAAATGCAATTGAATTTGTAGTGCCAAAAACTTCAATCACATTTTGCAAATGCAAAGTGACATGTGATGTTACCGCACATCCGCAGAATGCAATTCAACACTTTTTGTAGTGAGATCTAAGGCTTTGTTTGGCCGTCCATGATTGTGATAAACAATCATGGCAAATATTTTGGGGGTGGACAGCCAATGACAGGGCCTTACAATGGTGTTTGGGAGGCCATGTCATATCCACTCTCTTATGACGGAAATGGCCAACAAGATATATTCCCCCCAAAAGATTTTGTGTCATAAGTGCTGTTTCTGTGCTCGCATCACCTTCTGCTTTCCCTTACAACAACTCCATATCACCCCCTCTGACCAGCACAATGCCTGCCTGTCCTCCTAAACCGCCGTTCTGATCATCCACTCCCGAAGTGCACCAATGCGGTTGAAGCCTACAGAACAGCTTAGTCTGGTCATTGACTAATCCGAGCTTGCTAGCCCGGTATAAGTTGTTTGCTGATGTGGATGCTCTCAGGCTATGCCTATCAGGGTGATGTTGTGAGTGACACACTTGTGATACAGGGCCTCACCTGTTACATCCTGGGGGCATTGGGGTGATCCAGGGCAAGCAAGGAGGCACTGGCACTGCAGTCAAGATTTGCTCAATCCGCCCCACTGTGTAGGGATTGAAAATTCAATTTCTCAGAATTTTTCTTCCTCGAATTTTCATATCCTTAATAGCAACCATTGCCAACTGCCATTTTGGCCTAAAAGCAGCGATGGGCAGATATGTTACTTTAAGTTACAAGCTGACAATTGGATACCGTAACCTTATTTTATTATCTCAATTTCATCTTTTCAGTAACGTATCTCACTTCAGTAGTAAAGTAACTTACTGTAATTTTTTTTTCTTATCAATTTTTCTTTGATGTGTAACGTATTAGAAATGCATGATAATTTTTTTTGAGTAACGGTAACTTATGATTTGACCGTTACATTACGTTCCTGCACGTTATCCAAGTTACTGCTTACTAAAAATATTCAACATGCTTCCCATGGGGATTGAACTCACCCCACCATGCACACTGAAGAGCAACTGGCATCAGACTTCGAGATTTGAGACCTTACAGTCAGATCATCCTAATGCACATGAATTGAATGTTGCAGTTACACAGGTAGGATCTCACCGCCCCCCCCCCCACCCTCATCAACTTGAACCTGCAATCTGTCCTCGGTTTTTTGCCTTCTTTCAAACTGGTTCACCTTCTGTTCAGGCTCGGTTGACAGCTTATCGATCTTGTTGATTTCATATCCTCTACATCTAACCAGCTCATTTGCCATTACCTCAATCATGATCAAGCCACAATCTCCTCTCGATTCTTCCACCAGACCCACTCCAATGACCCGAACTGCAAGCACTGCACTCAATACTCAGTCTCAGGCAAGTCATGACCAATCCTCATTCATGGTATGATTACTAACGAATGTTTTTCTCAATCGATTTCAGGAACTTGCCACTCCAGCAGCTCAAAAGTCTAGACAAACCTCTCCCTTTCCCCCAACCTATGCAGCTATACTCGCTTCTTCAAGTCAAAAGAATAGCAAGGCACTCAACAAGGTCACCAAATCGCCAGAGGCTTCCACCAAACCAAACATCAAGTGCTCTGGTCAACTCGCTTCCTTTCCTCCTGCAACTTCAACCTATGCAGCTATAGTTGCTGCTTCTGCCAACCGCCAGCTCCAGAATACCATCGCTACAGTTCCTGATTCTGAACAACTGGTGAGTTTTCAATCCTTTCTAACAAAGACAACTAATGAAGTCTCTGCAAATGCAGTCGCTCCCACTAACCACACAGCCATCTGAAATGCCAAAAGATTCATTTATTTTTTTACTAACATTGAATCTTGTCGTGTTTGAAGCCTCTGCAGTCATCCCCTGATCTCTCTTGGACACTAGCGAACAAACCGTCAGTTCTTTCTCTTGCTCGTGGCTCTTCAGACACTATTTATGCAGCCGATCTGGATAAAAACGTCAAACCAGCCTCTGGATCAATTGTTCGACGCTCTTGTCGCCTTGGGAAAGCTCAATCAAACGAGGCCTCCAGTGATTTCCACTCACCCAAAAATCATCAAGGCTTCTGAGTCATTCTCCTCTGAGATGTCTAGTTCCAACTTAACTAGTCTTGACGATGATACCGACCAAATTCCTGGAGCTGTATCAGACAAATCTTCTACTCTCTCCGATCTGTCCAGCAGCGAGAAGGATACTGAAAACACTCAGCCTATGCCTTCTCATAAACCTAAGAAGAGAAAGCGTAAAAGAGGATGGTTTGTGTTGATACAATTTTTAAATATCAATCAATGTTCAAAAACTAACTATACATGCATTCTTTTCCCCCAATCCCCATGCGTTCTTTTCCCTCAATCCCCAATTCTGTCTATTTGGATACTTCTTTCTTTTCTGAATCTGTGGGGATGATTATTACTGTTCTTTCATATTCATATTGTGCGAATTATCTCGCTCCTAATGAAAATGATTGAATCCATCAGTGATATGACACCCCATCAGCGACAGAAAAGGAACCAGAATCTGAATAAAAGAAGGAAGGGTAAAAGGGTCAAGAATAGCTTGAATAGCTTTACTACAGCTGTTCCTCCTCCTGGCGCCCAGACGATTCAAAGGAACGTGGATCACTTGGACCTGTTTCCAGCTATCACTCAGGATTTTTGTCAAAGGATCTCTGAATACAAGCGTTTACTAGCCGACTATGAGAATGATCCCAACAATCTTCAAAAACCGCCAAAGGTCTATGCGTGTAGTCCCACCAAGGAAGAAAATGAATCAGCCTTAAAAACAGTCAAAAAATCTTTCTATACAATCGACTCTAACTACAATAAGATCTACGACAAAAAGACAAATGAACTGGTTGCTATTGTCGAATTTATTCCACTTGAAGATCTATCAAAATCCCAATGGAATGACTATGATTTCCTCTGTCTTTTCCTTCACCAATGCAAGGAGTTCATCTCACCAGTGTCTTCTAAATCACGAAAATGCGGTGGTATAATGTGGGCGATGGGTTGGCGGAAGGCGTACAATGGTCTTGAGATTCTTGGTCGATATCGTAATCAAGCGGTGTAGTGTGCCAAATGTGTTTCAAGTACCAAATTGCATAAAGTCATGATCCACTCTTGATAACAGACTATATTATTGATTTTTTATTGCATATTTGAATTCTACATCAAATTTAACCTATAGTCAATCACTGGAACCACTAGGCTAGCTCAACTCAGTCAGAAGTTATTTAGATGTTAAGGTTATGATAGAACATGATTACAAAGCATAGTGGTACATTGTTAGTGCATATTATATATTTAGAGCTAGGGAAATGGTTAGGGCTAGAACCACAATCTAGCCATTTTTGAAATTATCAGTTAGGGCTAGAACCACAAGCCAGCCGGTGTGTAAATAGACTATATAAGCAGGCCTTGTTGCCCCCCTCAGTTCTAGTTCCTCATGCAATCCCAGCATCAACATATATCTCACTTGGAGATGTCAACCCATTCATAGGGGTGATCTCAAACAAGTATCTCATCATCACACAGCCTGGCCAGCTGTTGATCATCATCATCAACCCCCCCCCTTCTTCAACACCTGTGATCTTAATCAGGTTCTTAGATAGCTTGTCTCATAGCACTTCATATATATCAATTGATCTAAGTCTGATAGAGACTACTACATAAAGGTTTCTCTATAAAGGTTTTGGCACATCAATATATAAATTTTTGTTGTCAGAATTCTTGTGTAGTACAATAGAGGGGCAGGTCTTTCAAACCACCCGTAACAATATATATCAAACAAGCACAATATCATATTTGTTATTTCCCCCTCACAGGACTGCCACCATTCCCAAAGGAGTTCTCACAGCGGCCATCAGAAAAAATCGTGTTGGTTTTAGGAATCTTATGAAGGGTTCGGTTCGAGCAGGGAAGATACTTTGGAGTATATTTCACAGTTTTGGAAATGTAGCCGTTGAAAAAAATCAAGCATACATGAGACGATTCAATATTCCTTCGATTGCCGATAACAACTTTCCTGAGAATCCAGGCGATAAATTTCCCTTTGGTTTTGCCTCAAACTTAGCTTTTTCGTCACATGGTTTCTATAATCAACATCACAAGGATGGTGGTGATTTATCTGATCTTCCCCTTGCATTTGCTTTAATCATGCCAACTTCTAAAATTACTGGTAGACTTGCAACCAAAGCCCAGGGCTACAATGTCGAAAACGGACAGTTTATTTTTAGAGACCTAAAGCTAGCCCTTGATTTCAAACCAGATACTATCTGTCGGATTATATTTCGTGCCCAGGAATACGTTCACGGTACACTATATCCATTTGAACCCAGTAGTTTTACTAAATTAGGTATTTCTCTTCAAGTTGCTACAAAAACTAGCAATGCCTGTAAAAATTACATAGATGGGAACTACGAAGATGATTCTGATAAATATTTTGGTGGTGTTGATGATATTGTAGATAATTAAGTTGCTATCAATTGTTATATTTTTGCAGTACTGTTATGTTGCATTGATCTCTGAGTCTCAAATGAATTATGATATTGATTGTTTCAGAGAAAATTGGATTAGAAAATATACAATGTTCTTTAAGATTTTAATTCCAATATCAAAATCTGAATTCCAATCTGACTGTTTTGCTTTTTTAGATTTGAAGAGCAGATGCTTGAAAGATATTTTGGCAGCAAAAATAACAAAATACTGTATAAATGTGAATATTAATATTTGTTTCTAAGGTTCTTTGGTTCATTGAAAAATAACTGGAGTTTGATGAAATGGGCTGTTGAGTCTGAGATTAGTGCTCAGATTTCCCTTTAATTCTTTTTGTCTCAGACTCTGATAATTTACTTCACCCACCATTCTGCAATTGAAACCCAATAAGCCCATGGGTCAAAAATTGAGGCTTTGAAAATGAAACTTTGATAGCCCATTATATCTCAGAATGAGGTGAATCTAATCATCAGTGGATGAACTTTAATATAAAAATGAAACCTAGTGGTGAAAAGTAATAAAAATTATAGCCTCAGTGAATAATCTTGGTATTAAAATAATATCTTGATGAACTTCTGGTTTTACACTAGAAATACATGTCTCAAATTTTTCTTTAATTTTTTTAAGGGTAACAGATGGATGAACACAATTCCTCTGTTCAGGTTTATGGGAATTGAAACTTTGATGTGGAATTAAATGAGAATTTAAAGAATGATCTGCATTAATTCATATCTCATGGAAATTCATTAAACTTCAAGATAAAACCTTTTTCACTGTTTAGCTTGAAATTTTTGTGTCCATACCATCTGATTTTTAAGTGTTTTGATTCTAGGTTGATTATCAAAATAAATTCAATTTATTCTTTACAGGTAATGATCATGAATTTGTGAGTATAATCATTGTGTTTTATTCATTAGCTGTGAAGTTTGAGCATCAGGAACTCTTACTGGTATTAAATCAAACCAGAGTCTGTGAAAATTTGAAGTTGACATGGATAATGGAAGTCAGTATTTTGAGACCTTGAAAGTTGAAGCTGGACTGACAGCAGCTTGTAAATTCAGTTTTCCTAGCCTCAAAATAATCTATTACCACACTCATTGATGTCAATTCAGAATGAAGATTCACTTTGAATTGCATGATGATGTGTCCCAAAAGTGGTACTGACAGGACATGAATCAGTTTGTGAACATATTACACATCATATTTCAGATCACCAGCTTCCTTCAGAATTTCCGACATAGTACTTCCCCATTTGCGATAACATGTCCAGAAAATCTTACGGACTTGGCCTTTCTTCTCAACCCAATGGGCCAGGAAATGAACTCCGTCGCTCATCAAGAGTTAGCTCTACTACTAGTAGGCATCCCTCCATCATTCTTCCGCCTTCTGATTCCAGACGATCTGTCAACAGAACTTTACCAGCAACACAAAAGTCCAAGAAGAAGAGAACTAGAAGCGTTTCCACCTCCGTAACTGAAGCTAGCGACCAAGAAGTTTCGACAAACAAAAACTCGTCTAAAAACCAAAAAAAGAAGAAACAAAAGAAAAAAACAATCACTCAAGTAAACGATAGCGATTCAGGATCAATAATAGACTTACGCGAGGACTCTGAACCCGATAATTCCAAGATTCCAGCAGCTAAACCTTGTGCTGAGAAGTATGATTCTCCTCTGGAATTCTTTGGCAAACCTTTCTACCCTGACAAGACAACTGTACGTTCATATAACATATTACTTTTCATACTTTGCTGATTCCTCTTTATATTCTGACTGAAAACCATTCCAGGAGGAAGAGCGCAAGAAGAAGCCAATTACGTACAACTGCAAATGGTGCAAGAAACGAGTTCGTGGCGGACATAACTCAGATGCAAATCTACAAAAACATCGTGATGGTTCAAACCAAGCTGGACGTGATGGATCAGGCTGTCCAAACAGAAGTCTTGCAATCCAAGCAGGTGCAAAACTACCCCCAACAGTCAACGAAACCAAAGCACAAGCTGAAAAAAACGGAACTGGCAATAAAAAACTCACATCGTTTTTTGGACGCACGGAAAAGTTTGATAAGAAGATTCTGAATCAGAACCTGATGATTTGGCAAACTCGTAACGCGCTCCCATGGTCACGAATCGAGGATATTGACTTGCAGGCTGGCTTTCACTATTGTCAACCAGATGCTATACTATTTAAACGAAAATGGGTTGCTGCCGAGGCCAAACAGCTATATATATCGTTGCAAGGTGCCATGCTTCAAACCTTAAAGGTAATTTCTCCACTTCCAAAAGAAATAGGAAATAGGAAACTGACTATAAGTAAAATAATTTGAAAATATAGAAATCCTCCAGCAAGTTCACTCTCGTGCACGATGCATGGACAACAAAAGGAAACCGTTACGCATTTATTGGATCCTCTGTTGCGTATATCAATGATGAATGGGAGTTCAACATGATGCATCTCTCCTTGAAGTTGGTATCGTGGTTCCATCAGGGAAAGTGGCTTGCAGAGCCACTTGCCAATGTTTTGCAGAAACATGGGATCTATCCCAAGATAAGTCATAAACCCTTCTTTGTTCAGGCAGAAATCTTTGACAATTCCAATACTTATATCATCTTTTTTGTAATAATACATGCTTTCTCAGACTACGGATTCTGCCTCAAGCAATAATACAATGGCAACTCGAGTTTATGATATCTTGGCAGACAAAAATGGAACATACTCCTTTGACTGGCGACCAGAGAGAATGCACATTCGTTGTTTCTGTCACAAAATTGCTCTAATCGTTAATGCTGGTCTTGCTGAGCTGGGAATGATTGCTCCTCCCCCCGCAAAAATAAAGGAGTCGGTCCTTGGAACTTTCCCATACTCCGATGCTATGGAAACAATCACCGAGGTAGAAGAAGAAATGGAGGAGGACAACAATGGCCCGGCCAGCTGTTCAGTTGGTGAAGACAATATCAATATTGATGATGATTCCGAACCAGAACATGATGAGGAAGAGCTTTCCAAGCTACTTGAACAACAAGAAAAAGATGCAGGAAACTTAGACGAGGAACAGCGTGAACACCAGGCGACAAATCGTAATGAATCCAATAGCTTGGACCGTTTAACTAAGAAGGTTTGAACTCAAATAAATCAATTTTTTAATCTCAAAAATTGAAACAAAAGTGGAAACTGATTCTATTCTTTTCCTCCTGAAATTACAGCTAGACTTTGTTGTGAGAAAAATCACTGCAACAAGTGCATGGCGTCAGGTTTTTATACGTAAAACCAAGAAAAAAGGCTTGAAACTACGTAGTCTCATTCCTGGCTATGGAATCAGGTGGAACATAAAATTTGAAAGCCGTGAGCGTGCTTATGAAGCACGTGAAGTGAGTTCTTAGTCATGATCTATTATTTTCTGCCATCCCATAGTTGAATTTATTCTATTCTATTATTTCAAGGTGATTGATGAGATTCTAAAAGATGATCTGGAGGAAGTACATGCTAAACGTGCGCGACAACGGGGACGGACTCGTGAGAAAAAACTTGGCCACTTCCAAGAGATAACAATTTTGTCACACGAGTGGCAACAAATAAAAGTTTTGAATGATGAATTGAAGGTTGTATATTTTTTTCAACGATATTGTATGAGAATAATTAAACTGATTATAACTTTTAATATCTTTAGTACTTTTTCTTGCTGACAAAGAAGATGGAGGGTGATGGTCCAACTGGCAGTGTTGCCATACCCGAATACTTGCAAATGAAAATTAATCTCAAGAAAAAGCTCGACTCATCACTGCGCAGCGATCCCTTACATCCAATGTTTGTCAAAATGCTCGAGAAGACCAATACTTACTTGCAAGAAGCACTTGCTTGTGAAACCTTGGTAATTTCAACGATCCTCAACCCCTCTTTCAGGCTTGCTATCTTTGAGAAACACTTTCCTCAAGAAGCATCGGAAGCAAAGAAGAAACTAGTGGAATTGTTTGAAGAACGAAAGAATCAAATGGCGGAACAAATTCGACAAGAAAAGGAGCTTGAAAAGGATACAACTGCAACCAAGGAAAAAGAGAAGAACGACGATGACGTATACTCATTTTTCAGTGGCCCAAGTGAAAATCCAGGCAAGGACGAAATAGAAATGTACTTGGGAGGAGTGGATCGTATCACCCATGGTGATAAGAAGGATTACACATTTTCTGCATTGAAATGGTGGAAGGTACGTTTTCTCTTGCATTTTTAAGATGAATGATTTTTTGTTGTTGATCTATTAAATTTTCAGGAACACGAACTCAAGTATTTGATACTATCAACGTTAGCCAAGGACTATTTAGGTTGTGTAGCATCCTCTTTGGCCGTTGAACGAACTTTTTCTGCAGCAGCAGATGTCTGTAGTAGTAATCGTGGTAAGCTGTTGCCAAGAACAATTGAAAGATTGGTAAGTAGTCGCATGTGGTTGCGTGATGATCTTCCGTTGGGAGAACACTTTGAGGGGGCAACTAAGCAACGCAATAACTTCCAATTATTCTGTGAAGAGAAAGAATCCCAACGATTGAAAGGCTCAAGAAAGTAGAAAATCATTTTCATCATTGAATATGTTTCGAACCAATTAGATAAATTTAAACTTCATAAACACTATCATTCACCACAGTTTGTTGCTTAAATTTCCATTAACCTAGTTACAATCAACTTCTCCTAGTTACAATCAAATTATCCACGTTACAAACAAGTTATCCAAAAACACAGGTCTGGTAACGTAATTTTAAATCAGTCAAGTTACCCTGGAACGTAACTTAAAAATGAAGACATGGTGTTTTGAAAATGATATCGTAAATAAAATTAAGTTATCGGTAACTAACAGGTAACGTAACTGTAAAGGTTACGTTACAGGCCAAGTTCTCCATATGGGTAACGTATCTGCCCATCGCTGCTAAAAGTGAAGAATTTCAATACCAGATCCCTCCGGCCCTTGTTATTCGTTTTTGTACAGTAGAGAGAAAGAATGGCAAATTTTGAAAATTGAATCCCACAGTACTGCAGGCCCTTAAATGCTGCCATGAATGTCTCTGATCACCACGCCTAGCTGGCATAGCGGAAATCTCACTTCGCTTCAAGAGCCCACCGCGTTTCAAGTATCCCGGAATCACACTGAAGTACTAAGATCAAACCCCATTGTGATCGACTCCACCAAAAGCCCAGCCAAAAATGCCAAGCCAACTCAGTGTCGCCCGTCTGGGGCTCATGTGCACTCTCCTCCTGTCGCTGCTCGTCGCGGTCAAAGCCCCAAGCGGACACAGCAAAGTGTGTACCATCTGCGCGCTAGACAGGCCCGGTCTTCGGGCCAGGAATCTCAAGTGGTATGGCAGCATGATACAAAAGCCATGCGGAGAGCTTCATACGCCTGTGAATGGGTGCAATAGCATAATCCCTATCAAGGTGTACTTCTGCGGTGAATGTGGTTCAACGGACTGGGTACCCGATGGGAAGTGTAGGGGCCAACACAACGGTAGGGTCCCACCTGGGCGGATGTTCCTCAAGTCCGAACCAGTGCCTGCGGGTCCACCAGCTGAGGTGGCATCATCAGTGGGGTCAAACGGTGGGTGGTCATCAGCGGGATCAAACTCACCTTGAATCGGACAACACTAACCTCCCACCGCGGCGAATTTTTTTAAAGTCACAGTTCTGTGAACATGTAATGCTTTGAATTGAACAAAACAAGACAAAAATTACATTGCTCCGCCCCATGACGTGGTTTGTCCGTGAGGAATGGTTCCACGCTGACCCAACTTTGCTCTGACAACTAAGGGTCGATAGGAAAGGTTGCAGTAGGGGGAAGTCAGGCCTTGGCAATCCCTCCATTGATGTGGGACCGGCCTGTCCTACAATTCATGTGAGGCTATCCTGTTAACTAGGTTTCAACCCATAAAAACTCAACAGAAACGGAAAAAGAAAAAATCATGCTACATCGATTCACCAGTACTGCCATTGGGGATATTTATCTCACCAGTGGTTTTATAGTTTTTTTCCAATCAAAAGTTATATTATCACATTCAGTATTGGAAACTGCCAAACTATCCAGGTATACTCCACGGAGATGAAAATTCAGAGAAGAAGGATTACGAAGAATTGCTTAGGAAGTCTCATTCGGGATGTAGTTTTGAGTGGCCAAGAGGAATTGCTTGTTCCATTCAGCAAACCAAGTCTTGATATTAACCTTAGAGGAGGACGAAGAATCCTCTTCCGAGATCAACGGGATAAGATAACGATCCAAGACGAGTTGGATCTCCCTGAAAGCCTCCGAAAGATTGTTGCCAGATTGGATGAGATCCTCAGTCGCAAGCGCATGGTCGTCATCATCAGCATCGCTTAGGGTGCACACGATTTCATCGACGATTCGAGAGATCGAGCCCGTAGAGGCCAGTAATGACTCGAGTTGGCTCGAACTCATCTCCGTAACCAATCCGAATGGTTCCTTTTGAGTCGTTGTTTTTGAGAGTTTATTAAGAAACAGTCGAGAGAGTTTGATGATCGGCACAGCCGATTTGGCGAGTTGAATGACATGTTCGCTCGGACGAGAGTCGTTTGCCCCAAAGCTCATATCGTCATCATCGTCGTCGTCGTCGTGATCGTGGTCGCCGTCTTCATCTGAAGAGTTGGCCGCCGAATCACTTTCTCCTTCAGGGCCAGTATGATTGATCAGCTTGGTTAATTCGTCCAGGGCATCATCTACCAAGCCAACTTCGGGTAGCCATTGGTCTTGGAGAAGGCTGAACTCAGATCGGTCGAACCATTCGATCGTCGTATCGATCAAGTTCCATGATAAGGACGTAAGAGAAAGTACCTCGGCTCTTCCCCGAGGTTCGTTGCTTGACGAATATGTCAGGTTCTCTATGAACCTAACACATGTTTGAAATAGTTCGGACACCAACATGGCCAGATCGTTAACTTTGAGGCGAACTCGGACACATCTGAACGCTTTCAAATTCTTCAAGTGGCCATCATTTGATACGAGTGACGGCCTAAGTACAGGAGCGATGGAGGCAACAGAAGCTTTGATTTGATCCAAGGTTTGCTCTAATTCGCCGAGTATTTCGAGAACTTGTTTGAGTTGCCCAGTCGCATTTTTTCGTAGATCGCATGGGTCTAGCGATAGTGAAAGGGCTGTAATCCGATGTCGCAAGGAAGGTAGAAGGCCCGATTGCAGCCGCTTCAGAAGTTCTGCTCTGAACTCAATTTGCTCAAACAGCCCAGGCAGGTTTTCCTCGTGAGCCGATGAAAAGGGCTCGAGACAGATTAAAGGGCACTTGGCTATCAAACTTCTGAACGCCTGGACGACCAAACCTAAGACACAAATTGACGTGAGTTGGCTGCTAATGACAATTTTTATTTTCAAAACCGTTGCTGATCTATTGGAGACTTACTCTTTTGTTTTTCCATATCCTGCCCTTTGTCTGATGGTTGGAGGGACTTGAATGAGTTGGCCAAGCTGGCGATCGATGTTTCTTGAGGCACAACCATGGCGTTCGTTGGTGTTGAAAATTTTCCGAGCTTCCAATTTGGCAGAACGGAGATTCAGATTGCGGATGTCCCGCTCCGCACGGGGGGAGACGGGGGCATCGGGCGAACCATCAAAGGATCAAAGGTGCCTCAGATGAAAGTTGAATGTGGACCAAAACAATCCAAGACCAGCCAGATGACATGTCTCGTCTCACTTTAAAATGAACTGGGAAAAAAAATCAGTATTAAATTTGCATTGAGTGAGCCTTGATTTGGCCTTCTTGACAATCTCTTTGGATACCTGAAAACTGTTCCAAAAAACTTGTGAGATTTGAATCATTTCCCTCCTTTGAAAAAAAAGACGAAAAATGATTGTAGAGTTAATTTATAAGATTTTTGAAAATGTAGATCACACTTACTTTTAAATTGTCCAGTATGTTCATGAAGCTAAAAATGTGTAGTATATTCAAGACAGCAGAGTCATCTGGCTGCCAGCTGGGATGGCTGACACAATTCCCTTGGATTCACACAGGTCACTAGACAACCATGTCCTCCCAATATTTGAATATGGGAAATTAGGCTCAACCTTTGGATGTTATTGACTGTGCTAGTCCTGATCTTCTCTTTATCTATCTTATATTTCCTTCCAATTCACTTTCCCACTTCTTTCATGTCTCTCTGCATCACAGTGTTCTTCTTTCATTCTTTTCTTAATTCTTGTCATCATTTTCTTTGTTTTTCTTTTTAACTAATTCTCCACATGATGTGTTGGCTATTTTTATGCAATAAACTCATGTTGAAAAACCTCTCAGTTTCTGACATTGGAATTGGTAATTGAACCTCCTCATTCCCCCATGGTGATTTCCCTGTAAAAGGTCTGGATGTAGATTTTGGAGGAAATTTAAACCTGACATTCAGTATTACTGCTGAAATCGCATCTCCTTTCTTTTCCTTCTTCACTCTTACTTCTGCCTCACTCACTCTTCATTAATAATAAACAGGATCTACATAATCATCAACTTGATTTCTCCTTTGTCATAGTCTGACTTGTCATGTTGTTATGAAGTTTGGCCCCCTAGCTTGTAGTCTTAGAACCCTGACTAAGGAGGGCTTATTATCTCTGATACATACCTCCTTATCTTCTTGGATGTAGAAGCTTCAATTTTGGTGTTTATTGTCATACCCTTTTAATTGTTCTTGATTTGTTCCACTTTATTCTGTTTCCTTCTATGCATTACTCTTATTCAAAATTCTTCTCAACCACAGCTTGCACCCTTGTATCTAGTCTATTCAACTTAGCCTAGTACAAGAAGTTAAAGACCATGGGTTTACCTCCTCATTGAGTCCTGACCACTTTTTTAGTCACTTCAAAAGTGTTCACTAAGTTCATTCAAATTTTCTCTCCCTAATCTCAAGCTCAGATTTCAACAATTACTAAAAACTGAAAAACTCCACCAGCACTGACATTTGATTATTACATTAAACATAACAAGAACAAAATGTATAGAAGAAGTAATCAGAACAAAGGAAACTATAGAAAAATTCACGAATTGAACCCAAAGTTGATTTTTGCTAATAAGATGCTCTACTGACAAGTTGATGACAAGAGATGATAGATAAATAACCATAATGATATGTAATAAGAAAAAAATATCATACAATACAAATAACAAAAATTAAACCCAGAAGTGGATGAAGGGGGCTGTAGAATCATAACAATACCATATTGTAACCAAATCATGTTTACAGGAAAGAGATTGACATATTCAATAAGAACCTACTGATCCTACATTTTATTTTCCATAATACATCGACCATTCAATGCTATTCTAGTTCATATTCTTGCTGTCTGATGGCGGTGATATCCTTGCGACAAAGCTGAATTTTAACTCCGGGATGCCAAAGTGGACTACCTTCAGACTGCCTAGTTGGGGAGTTTAAGCCATTGCTTGACAAAAGGATACTCTGTGAATCTGTACCTGTTGCGTTGGATTGTGCAACAAACAGCTTCCACTGTGCCCTCAACCAAAGGATCAATAAAACCGTCAACCACACGAGATCGAAAGACTGGAAGGATTGACAAGGAGTAACGCGTAGACCCACAGAATGAAATGCGATGCAGATGGCGGAAAATGTGTTCCCAGCTGACGATAGCCATGCCATAACTCCTCGCCAATAAGGGCTGTGAATAGGAGGTTGTTAGACCGTTGTTAAATCAAGAGGTAAGCAATAGGTGCATGCTTACTCTAAGAGAAAATTGGACGGTTTGAAGGCCAAGAGTAGTAATAAGACTGTGACAATTGACATGGAGATGAAGATGGCAAATGCCCTTATTGATAAATAAGCTGAGGAAGAAGTTGTATAATTTTAATAAACATGAATCATGTCAGTGTATTTGATTGATTTACTCATTTGTTTCCCTCTGATTGGCCATCCAGAAATGGAGATGACTTGAGAGTTCACCAATTACTCACTAAGTTGACGATTTGATAGCATAGCACCAGACTGGACTTGGTTTACGCTGATCAAATCAGTCTGGGGGCTACTTTCATCGGCTGGGCTCTCATAATTGAGAGTGTTGGTAGCGATAGTAAGCGTTATTTTTGGTTTGCTTGCTTCTCGCAGGTTACTCCGAATTAGCTTCCAAAATGAAAACATAAACAGCTGGAGCCAATCAGAGCTTCCGAGGCGTCAGCGAGAATGTTTGGCTAGAGGAAGCTCATAATGGCCTTAGAGGAAAAAGTATGTACGGAGTAAATGATAGGCTTACATACCTGGCAACATACGCATAAGAACGAAGCTACGGTGCATGAAAAAATTTGGAAACAACGAAGCACAGCATCGAGATGTTCTTGAACAACCAAGCCCAGCTCCTTGATGCGCAAGTCTTGCCGAGACAGGCGGTTTGTAGTCACCAATTTTTCCTCCAAGGATAGCGAATTGTGTTGAAGTTTCTCCCAAATTGCAGAGCCTTGATTTACATTTCTCAGAAGCTTGGTTAGCTCATTTGAAAAGGTACGATGAGCAAGAAATAGACGGATGGTGACGGCCATGATCGTAGCGATAGTGAGAAGTGGGTAGCAAATAGATGCCGTGTTGATTAATGTGGGAGGTGAAATCCATCTGAACATTCTTTTTGATGAACATCCATAAGTTTTGCGGCCATAGTAACTGCAGCATCCGAGCGCCATTTAGACTCGATTTCTGCGGTACTGTCGGCTACGTCTCAGCGGTAAAAGAACTTACCCCGTCACGAAGAAACAGTGGGCCAAACTGCAATACCCCATATATCCAAATACGTACATAACTCCCAGCCTGATGGATACGGACAATGGAGGTGGAAATTAGAAATCATCATGACCGCAGCCACGAAACTGATGAAGAAAAGAAAATACCCACAAGGCTAGGATTTGGGTGAGCCTATATTCATCGAACGGACCTGAGACCTTGATCTGGCACCATATAAAGGCTTGAGAAGTGACAGAATTGCAGAGTTGGGAAATCGTCAAGATGATCCCACCGTTGGTGAAATATAAAGGAGTTCTGTAAACTTCAGCAAGAGAAAAGAAGGAATTTTAGTCGAAGTTGAACGGTCGCAACTGAAATTGAGCCGACCAACTAAGTTCCCCGGATTGGTCCTTGATAAATAATTTCATCCACAGCCACTGAGTTGACGACTTGGATCGGGAAATGCTCGGCAAGATTAATATCAACAAGCATAATCCGGCGACCAAAACATGGAACACGAAGAACACCAAAAGAACAACCACGAATGGCCTCGACAACGGCAGCGTCAAACTCTGTGAAAGCTCGTCCTTCATGTAAACGAATGGATTAGAGTGGGCGGGAAGTGCACTTGAGACCTCAGTGCTAATCCGGCCGGGCTTCATGTGGTGGTAACGGCTCATGATACTGACGATCCGGGTCCTTGAGGTACTGAGAGTCGAGGCGATGGGGAGGAATTCGACGTTTGTTTTTCTGCTTCTGGTTTCCGAAGTGGCAGTTGGGCGCGAATAGTCTCACTGTGACTGCTAGGATCTCGGGCACCATTGCCGCTTCGGTTATACTTCACTCTGAGTCCTGACTCAGCTCCCAGTCCGATTATGTACTGCAAAACAGACGGCATTCACGTATATAGAGAGATCTGTGAAGACTTGGGACGTGAGAACACGTTTTCGCGGACGCTTCTTCTTCAAAGGCGTTTCTTCTCATCAGTACATAAATCGTTATTTCAGATCAGACATCAGCTCCCTTTGTGACACGGCTTGATGACCGAGAAAATAGAGATGGAGGTCTGGCATAAGCACAATTAGGAATAAGTAAACATGAACGTCGCGGTTTAGCTAGAGTAAAACATGCATACATACAGCGCGACCGTATGTACCATGGCGCTGATCTTTATGTTTTGTTGGGTCCCTGATTGTAACACCCGATGCTATGTTCTTATCCTGACGGGTCCCAACCGAGGCGATTTCTTCACAGTAAAGTTTCGGGAAAACCACACACACCCAGGTGAGTTGGTAGGTGATAGCTGTTACTTGGGAAGAGTGCCGGATGCGATAATCATGAGGCTCACAGCGATCGTCCGGGATGAGCAGTTCGTGCCTCCAAGCGTGGCCGCCGCCGAGCGCCGCTGGGAATTGGGTCAGATTTGGTCCCCGAGGGCTTGATAGGGCTTGATCCGGCTCGGACCGGCCGGGGGGTGCGGATCTGGGGATACACCTGCCATAGTCTGAAGATTCTGACTCGGCCGACCTCAGGCTCAACTTCACAACATCTTGGTCGGTCAGATCGCCATCAACCATCGATCAACCCACCAACCACAACAACTTGACTCAACCACAAGTACCCAACATTGTTGAGCCTTTTGTTTTCTCTTTCTTGTTTGTTTGATGGTGTTCTTTCTTTTCTGGCGGGTCACTTTTTTTTCTTGTTGACCGTGTTGACCGGTTTTTGTTTTTTATTTTTCCCCACAGAGCTCCCTTCGGACCCGACGGGACTGCAAGTTGAGCTACCTCCGGCCTCGCCCCACGATCGTTCGAGAGATTCGAGCACTGTCTCGACCTGTCTCGGCCCCCGTGACTCAACCGCCTGTTGGAACTTCCAGGCTGTAGCTAAGCTAGCAAGCGTGATAGGGTGACTTTGGGCCAACTCCTCGCAAGCTTTAGGCGCTGCCAAACGGGCTGAGATTCGCTATATGCCAAGCGGGCTTCAGGGTACGGCAAACGAGCTTTGAGATAGGCCCAGCGCCCTTGCCTTTTATTCGGCCAAACTGGAGTCTACTCTGCCCAGGCGGTATACAGACTTGCTCCGTCCGGCCTGAATAGTTGATCGACCCCAACGAAAAAAAAAAAAAAAAAAAAAAAAAAAAAAAAAAAAAACGAAAGAATCCAGCAATAGATTTTGAAAGAAAATGGAAGACTTCACAATTGTCGAATCCATCCGTCAGACAGAAGCTATTGAAACACCTGGTCAGTTGATGTAGAAATCTCGAGTAATTGTGATCTGTAGACCCGCAAGCAATCAAACCATATCCCCAAACTGATCAGAATCTGACCGTTACCATCCATATTTAGATATCGTTGTCCAGGCGTTGAAGAAGCTATATTCCACATTTCAGATGCCGCCGGATAACTTGGTCTCGGATCGTGATAACAAACCGCCGTCACAAGACGGAATCAATGCCCCAAAAAATGTCTTCGTACAAGTACGAACGAAGTTCCTACCTCTGCTACGACAGCAACTTGTCGATCTATTGGCGTCACTACACATATCAAATTGGGAAAAAGAACCCAGGCCGAGCCTTCCTGACGCCCTTACAATCCTATGTCAAATAGCTTCAACACTGCATCACCTCAGATCCTCTACTAACTCAATTCCTCTCGACCCAAGCCGAACACCTGAGAAGAATTTACGAGCACCCGGCGGTTTGGATTACTCCAGATCTGTCGATCTCCGATCGAAAATTGAGACCTTGCTACAGCAACAAATCTGTGGACTATTTCAACAATACATCCAGTTTATCTTAACTTGGCAGTCAACAGACAGTCGTCCAATCAGCTCCGATCAAGAAGCTAATCTGGCTCACCACAGAAAGGAGATTATTGGGATGTCTACTCAAGCCTACGATGACATCAAGAATATAATCAAATGGCTCAAAGATGATGAATTCGCATGTATCCAAGGCAGATGGGAGGGGGAAGTAGAATTCATGAATTTCATTCTTCAGGATTTAATTTGGCGAATTAATGTACGATCCCCGCAGATAGAAGACTTTGATCGGATTCAAGAAGGCTCATCTGGAAAACACTCTTCAAGTACAGCAAGTGATCAATACGAAGATAGTCAACATGAGTCCAGTCCTCCTGCTGATCACGGAGAAGATCCATTTTTGAAGGGCGTCCGTGTCAGGGCACTTGCGGTTGAGCTTTTCAAGTCGATTTTACCACTCGTCAAAGTGACACGAATATTCTTCAATAAAATATCAAACACGACGACAAGTACGCTACCATTTACGTTAGAAAGTAAAATGAGCCTCGTGGACTTCTCAGGTTTAATCTCGAAAGCCGGATCACTCCCTTACGCAATTTCCGAGTTGACACAGCTATTAGATGCTTTTCAGGAAAACAAGGATCTTGCTATCCAGCAACACAATGATCTTAATTATAATGATTTGTTGGATGATACCAAGGATCAATTTGACTTTGTTTCCATGTACTTTGATGCCTATGTACTCTTATTCGACTCTCATCTAGTCCCTATCTATCCTCATCCTCCCTCTCCAAATATCTTCAAAAATTCGGTCCTCGATTTGATCGGACAGTTCCACCTGGCTGTTAGAGTTTTTAGATATGCTATAGAAGTTTTCGAAGAAGCTATATCATGAACTTGATCTTTATCTGCCTCTCGCATTGCTGTATTTCCTTCCCTTATATTCCTTGTGTCTTGAATCATTTTTCTCGAGCTTCCCTATTTACAAGCTAAATAAACACCTATATATGTGTCTGATAACTAAGAAAAAAAAGTTGCATGAATACAGCTCAGATGGATAACATGAGTGCTAATTTCAAGTGTGCTACAAATTTGTATCAACAGCATGCAAATGTTCAATCAAGGTAACGTTTTTCATCCTTACTCGAGTTCAATAATTCGAAAAATGTTTTCTGGCATCTGAATATTTGGATATGGATAGAGCGAGCAATCACATTGAAACTTGGGGGGAAATTCACAGCCAAATACATAAGAGACGGGAATCCCAGCTTGCTCCTCAAATTGTTTGCAGCATACACTGCTAGGATCCAGCAGTGACTAGTCGAATATGACGAGCAGATGCTGCCCGACCGGTTCTGCGCCCTTGAACTTAAGCAGGACCGGTCAGACAACCACTGCTAGTAAGACTGTAACTTGTATAACTTATTTTGGCTAAACATATGAATCATGAGACAGCGGAACGAGTTGAATGAGCCGTGTTATCTAATGCTCGATCAGGATCAACTCCTTTTTCATACCAAGTCTATAGCGATCAGACAAAACACAGTGTGTTGACAGGAAAAAGAATGACAAAATTCTACATAATTCGTTATTGTAGTCCTGCGACCTTTTGCGAAGAGTAAGGAGATCTAATTTATGACAACATTGTGATCCAAGCTAGAGCAGCATAAAATAGACCGAGAGGATAGACAGCTAAGAATGCTCTGCCGTCTTCTAATCTAGTGCCACCAAAGAAATTCATAGCAGCTATCCGGTCGAAAAGGAAGGTTGAGCAAGGGAAGCAAATATGACACCGCGATGATTAGAACTAGGAAATGAACTCACCCCATACACTCCAAGCCCATCCACATACGCTCAACACCACCCGGATCGGTAACCAACGAATAAACAGAGCGACAAGGGCAGCAACAAATAGAGGGAAGAGACAATAACCCAGGACACATAAGGATTGGAATAGAGAGACTCTGCCACCCAATAAGCGTGCATTCAATGTTACGATCACAGACCCTACCCAAACAATCACAAAGACTCCTGTAAAAACTGAGAGTGACTGTTGTGGTGGAGCTGTTATTTTGTGATAGGACAAAAAAAAATCAGGTGTCAGAACAAGGAAGATTGGTCGCGAAGGAAAGAGCCGAAGAGTCTTGACCATTTAAGGAGAGGACTACTGCAAGTCCTAAACAAGCTACCAACGGCCCCCAAAGATCCCAGTCTCGAAGTAAAGCTTTTGAACTTGATGATCCAGCAGGATAAAGAATCAAGACCATCTTTGAGCCAATGGCCGTCAAATCCCGCATCTGTATAATATGAATAAATACGAATTAGCAATTTGATGATTATTGATGAACCACGAAATAGAAAAATGGCTAACGATAGTTTCACTGATTGGTTCATCGAGTGTGTTGATACCTGAGCCATATCTAGATTCCGTCATAATTCCACCAAAGTTTTTCCTAGTCGATTGACGATTATTTGAGGGAGCAGCGGAAGAAGCGCTACCGATTTGACCGGAAACGGTAGGCTGAGATGGGCCGGTTGGTGGGTAAGCTTTCGTCTTCCCCTTCTGAGTTGACTTTCCTCCTGAGGTCAAGGGTTGGTTGGATTGGTCGATTTCTGATTGGGGGATGGCTACCAGATCGTCGTCCGAGTCTGAGTCCGGCTCCTCAGTCAGGGCGGCCTGTGTGGGCGAAGGGATGTCATATCCTCGGGAGGCCATTTAACGTATGATCGCCGGTTCCTCGAATTTCTGGCGGACTCTTACACCCAATTCCTTCAGCGTGTTGTTTTTTCTTCTTACGCGTCAGTATGTGCGATCTCTGCTAATGATGATGCGTCTTCGGGTAGTGCAATTTGTTGTGGATGCTGTGTCTGACTGTCAAGTGACGTCGTTTTCTTCCTGGTAGTACTCACCACTTAGACCCTCCGGAGCTTATGAAACCCCCTTGCCGGCCACTGCGGAATCAGGCCCCGCACTACTGCTGCGGTACTATGTAGAGCAAGCCGAGTCCGGAGTCCCGCCGAGTCGCCGGCCATAAAAGCAACACACAAATGTTTAACAACTGCCTACAACTGCTCATCGTCTTGATAACAAATCAGACAGAGATTCAAAAAGATGGGGCTGTCTCAAAAAATTATAGACCATGATAAGAGGAATTCATTTTCCTCGAAAAATTATCGGTCAAAATCATGAGCTAGATGAGTGGAATCCATGTAGAGAAACATTTTGAACCTTCTTTCTGCCTCTTGATCATGGCCTATAATCTGCCAAAGATGCACGAGCTGGCAAGGCTAGATTTAGATGTTGGATCATGTCGAGGTCCATCGCCATACTCTTGTGGCACAAGAAGTCAAGCGGAAGCCTGGTATATCTCGAAGCAGCCAGAGCCAATTAGGCCACGTCTTGCCAAATCATCACCAGTGCCTGCTACATGGAGGCGAGAAATTTGTACCCAACTTATACTAGTGCCTAAGCGTCTATCTCTATCATAAACGCCAGTCATTCGTGCTTGGGTTCGGTTTGATCTCCGGGGAGTTCTGAATTTTGGCGAGAATGCCCGAAGAACATATGGAAGAGCAATCTTGACCTCTTATCTAATTAAGTCCCTCCCATCAGAGGGGGGACACTGTCCCGCAGGAACTCTCCCCTCCCTCCGGTCGGCGTAATGCGACAACTGGTTCACCACTCCGACGGGGGGTAGGGACTTTGTTAAGTTAGGCTTGACCTTGTAAACCTGTTAAACTTAAAACCTCACCCAGTCAAAAGACCACTGCGTCCCGGCGTTACAGCCGGTGTTAAAGGAGCATCGAGCTGTACAGAGGGAGGGAAACATGCACGAAACGCGAAATGAACTCTTCCTGCCATGGATAAGTGTAGTCGATTCAGAATGTGCAACCTGTCACAACAGGTCATGAACCGATTGCGTAGACCGTAGCTTCCATCCATCAAAATAAGGGTTATGGGCTCTTGATAATGGACAGGCCATGCCACGTTTTCATTGTTCTTACCGGATAGAATTGTCGGCTTGTAGCATTGCCCCAGGTCGGACAGGAGCAGCATCTTGCTTGCAAGTAGTTCATCTATGGTGGTTTTCTCCCAATCATTCACACCAAGATCAGACAAATATGATACACCGGCCTGTCGTTCAATTGCGTGGGCCGTTGGGTATGAAACCTCATGAAACAGACTGGAGCGTAGGTCCGTAGGATAGAGCAAGATGGCCAACAAAAACTCGACTGACTGCCCCCTGAAGTGTCTCCATCTAAAGTCAAAGACCTTCCTGAATACCTCTTAGATCGAAGTGATCCGGTGACCTCGCTTTCTCTCTGAGGATGCTGACATATCTCCGGCCCGCGTCCTTATTTCTTCTCTCGTGGGGGTTCCTCACCATCCAGAATGCCACTTCAGTCATCTTCAAGTCCAGCATTTGGGACGACAACCCGATTGAAGAACCCTGGCTTCCAAGTGGTACGCTTCTCGAGGCCTATTCAGCATCTCGGCTCATGAAGGCTAAACCCGCGGCTGAGTGGAAACGGTTATGGGAGGACTCACACCTTCGAGCACTTTCCAAGTTGAGGGCAGAGCAATCAGGGAGTCAAGTTCCACTTTCTGCTTTAAATCCCACCACCTTGAATCACTGGCGAGATGTCCCACAGAACTCACCAACAGACGCACGGCAACATCCGCACCACCAAGAGCAACTTTCGACCTCCTTTCCAAGCTCCCCAATCATTCTTGAGATCCCTTCCGGCTCCCCATTCAATTCAGAAATCCCTTCCGGTTCCCCTTCCAATTTTGAAAGCCCTTCCGGCTCCCCATTCACTTTTGAAAGCCCTCCCGTCCAGAGTAAGTCGCTCTTCCGTTTGGTTTCCTGAATTTCCGCATAGTCTATAGACCAAAAAAAATAACCAAGATTTCGCAGATTTAATCGGGCCGACCGTGGTGCCCCAGAATCAGGTAGGCCTTCAGCACCAACTAGAGGCTCAACCCCCACTTCCCGCCAAAACACCAATCAATGAGATAACAGAGGAAAACCTGAGGTTGGAGGGAAGCGAACATGCAGGTTAGTCTCTATATTGTTTCAGATGTTGATCACAGCAAAAGAGGACCATAACCACCTGCTGAGTGAATACTCTCAGCAGTCAGTCTAGTAGCCAGTGGTACAGAAAAATCCACAAATTTAATGCAGTCCACCGTGGTACCCCAGAATCAAGCAAGTATTCACCATCAACTGGAGACCCAACCCCCACTTTCCCCGGGAATTCAACATCGAGGTTAGTCTTTATACTTTTCCAGACTGTGTTGAGATTAAATTCAAAAAAGGACTATGGCTCTATGCCCATTCGCTGATTTGAGACTTCGTAGCCAGTCAGCCAGACAGCGTTAGAGAAAAGTTGGACGAGCCATGGGATCCCAACGATATTAGTTTATTATCATCAAGCGTATCGAGATGGGTCTGCAGGTCCGCTGTGCGTGAAGGTATCAACAGCCCCAGTCGAGCTTATTGTTCACGGGTTGGCCAAATCAAGCTGCTTCTTCATAAAACACAGATGGAAAATTTCAGAGAAAAGCTCCGAGCAGATGAGATCAAAGCCAATATCAATCCTGAAACCAAACCTCACTCAACTCTACCGATTGGAATAACGCTCCCTTCGAAGAAGGGTGACTCTAGAAGAGTATCTAGAATTTTACGTCTTTCTAATAAAAAAAAACCCAAACTACAGTCAAGCAGTGTTATGCTAGTACACTATAGGTATCTACTTGCATGGATTCACCCACTTCACCAAGATCTCATGAACCGTTTGAATCTGCCAACATCCATGCAGAGGTCTCAGCACCAGAAACTCGTGGACTGGATAGATGGACATATTTTCAAGCCTGATGGTCAATTTCCGGCGTTAATCGGGACCGTCTCTCCTGAAATATCAACCAGTTCGTGGGCAAGTCATAAATTCGGACCTATTCATTCTGAACTAATAGATTACTTCGGCCAAGATGAACACTTGAACTACATGGTGCCCGAGACGGCCCCTCATCTAGTAGACACTTTTCAAGCTGCGCATGAAGGTGAGCTAGAATTTACCTATGAACAGTCGGCGAAGCTGGCTCTGAACTGCATCCTAATTGTAACTGATAATGTGGAACTTTTAAAAATTTGATCGGTGGCTTGAATTATTCAACCGTGAAAAAAAAAAAAAATAGAGGATTATTTAGCCTCGAATTATCTTGACATAGATGATTCGACTCGGACATGGTCAAGCCCAGAATCTGAGAAGATGATTGGATTTTTATTTAAGATGTTAGAAAAAGAACGCATAGGCTACGTGGCCCAATACTTCAACGCAGGACCGATGTCAACTAAACCTCCGAATACCCCAGAAAATGTTTATCTTCAACAATTCTACGCGAAATTTTACACTAGTTGTGATAAAACCAATAGGTGCATAAGTCAAGGGTCCGCATATCATCCAAAACTGTCGATCACGATGGACGTGACCGCTCGGAGAAAAGGTTACGGACTGATTCGAATTTCAAAGGAGGATAAAAACGTGGTACCACTTCCGGAGATTTATAGGCGATTCAACAAATTAGTAAAAGCTTTGTATTACTTTCATTCCCGGATCCTCGCACACTTAAAAGTTGGTGAACATAAATCTAAGAAGAGAAAAGGAGAACTCTTTCTATGGTTGATAGAAATCATTATCGGCCCAAAGAAAGGTCATTTTCCTCTGGTCGGATTCACCAAAATCAACGAAAATCTTGCGCCATGGGAGGACGTCACCCACGAAGCTTTTGGTTCGCTGAAGCAGATCCACGTACAATTGATTAAGTATTTCTCTCAATGGGAAACAGAAGATGCGTTGAAACGAACGGCAGCAGTTGTTACAACCGCTTGGTTTCAGGACCATTATCCTGCTGATATGGCACGTTTGATTGCCTGATGATGATTTAATACGATTATATTAATAAATTTGATTGAGTGATCTTCATCTTATTTCATAATTCATCTCCCTCATCAACATCAATATCACATTTTTCCCTGCTTGTGACCAGGGTATGAGTTGGGCCCTCTGGTATCACAACAGCCACATGCTCAGCATGAGAGCAAGCTCTCCACCAACTTTGACCCCTGTTTTCCTGTGATTCTGGCCCTGAGGTCTGTGGGCTGTGGCAGTCCAGAAATGTAGGTTACTGCAACTTTGGAAATTGTTGTCTGTGTGATAACTGGATGTTAAATAATCAAATCAAGACCCCCCCCCAAAAAAAAAGAACATTTTTTATGATCACTCAGAACCTATCAGGATGAACCTGTGATAAGTAGAGATTGGGAGAGATACAAAAAAACAAGAATGTGGAAAAAAAGGTAAAAGTTTATCATTTGGATTCAAGTCAAAACTTGTGCTTCATTGACCAAGAAAAAGTGCACAAGTTTTGATTGAGGGAAAACGGTCCAGGTACGTAGTTCATGCTTTCCTCAATAATTTCCTAGAAAAAAAAAATCACATACAGTGGTGCAACCCATCCTACTGTACATGTATTTTGGGGTTCCAAAATGTTTGGAGGAAAACAAAGTCAAGAAAATCTGCCCTGGGAAGGGCAGGATCTGAGGAAAATCTAGGTTTTGGGGCTTAGAAGATTTTAGAAATTGTGCAATTTTTGCCACTTGTTTGGAAAAAAAATTCCATCCCAGAGTCAAATTACCATGTTTGGCAGCAACAAAAATGTGATCTAGGTTATAAATTAATTTATGCACATAGCTTTGGTGGGAGAAGCCATACTTATGTGTTATCAGAGTTAAGTACATGAATATGTGACTGTAGGGGCATTTAAGCCCATGGATTCCAAAATTTTGACCCCAAATAAAAAAAACTTTTTTGTTGGAGCAGTCGGGGCTTAGCCCTTTTATCTATGGAAGCTACTGCCCTCAAAAAGCCCAAATCTACAATAAAAATGGGTGATGGACCCCAAGTGCCTACAAACATTAGGCCAACAGGCCAAAAAAAAATTGCTGGTGATGGTGTACAGTAACATGGGTTGGACCACTGTATTCTCAACAGGGCAGTTCATACAATGCTGATGATGACCATCAGCAGTCAAACTTTGGTTAGAAGGGCTATTTTAAGGTTTATGGGAAAGCAACAGAGCTTGGTGGGAGGCTCCCCTTTGGAGTCACAATCCCACAATTAAAAGAGCATGAAGCTTGTGGATTGGCAAACAAAGCTTGCTCAAGACCAGCAAAGGATTCATGAACTGTCCTAATTGCACCCACAGATTCCTTAACACTCAGAGTTGATGAGGTGAGCTGGGACAAGCAATGAGTGAAGTGGAAAATTAAGATGAGGAAAAAGAGTGCTTTCGACGAGTGAGCTGCTGCCCCTGCCTGCAGGGAAGTTCTACCACTGGTGAAACAACTCCTGTGAAATGTGAGTTCCTGGAGATGTATGTATGTAGCATACAACAACACGATTGTAACTGCAAAAGCCAACCAGATTTCTCATGGCTAGTGTACATATCCCTCGATCTTCACCATTCTTTTGGTTACCAAGAAAAACGCAGATCCAAAGAATCATTTGGATGTTGTTCAATAGATACAAACCCAAAGAGAAATACATAGAGACCATCCTCAGAAGACCAGAAAAAAAAAACCCCCGACTAATGGAGAGCCAGTTGAAACAACTTATATGTGTGCACATATATATATATTACAGGATCTTACGATTGACGTCCACGTAGAAAACCCACAAACCCAATTTTTTCTTTTCTAAAAAGTGAATGACACATTCATTTTCAAAACTTTTTTTTTAAAAAAAAGGCATGGGGGGGGGGGAAGGGGAAGGGGATGATGAGAGCCAATAACTTGAACGGGTAAATAATATGATTACAATTTGTAACAAAAAAATGATCAAAAAAAGGGGGGAAGGAGAGAAAGAGAACAAGACAAGAGATGAGAACAACAAAGGACAGAAGATTGGACAAGAAGAAAGAAACCAAAAAAAAAAACACATCAAAAAAAAAAGAAAACAATGGTGAACAATAACAACCACAAGATGATAGATGGATGATTGTGATTGACATGATGATGAGGATGAGGAGGATAGGTAAGAACCAAAGTGATTGATTTTATATATTCAACAAAAAAGAAGAAGAAGAAGAAGAAGAAGAAGAAAGGAAAGAAGAAGATATTGTTCATGATGATGGTTTGTTAAGTGGTTGTTATAGAATGTCTTATTAAGTGATGAGTGAATATGAACCAACAATAAGAGAAGAAAAGGAAGGAAGAAAGACAGAAGAGTGGACGAGACAAGAGGAAGTAGATAACGGTGAAGAGCACGGAGCAAAGAGGAAAGAATGAAGAGGACACGAATAGTTATAGCAAGTAGATTAGAGTGAAAAGCAGAAGAAGGAGTTGAAGAAGGAGCAGGACAGGGAACAAGCCAATCAGGAAGGGAAACAACGGTGTTTTTGATGATTAGTGTTGATGATGATAGATAGATAGGAGTTGAAAGGACGATCAGTTTGACGAGCAGAACAGAAGGATAGAAGACAGAAGGACGGGTAAAAAAAAGAAGAAGAAAGTGCGGACAGAGAGAGATAGAGAGAGAGAAGGATCGAAATGAGGGGAGAGGATCAGACGATGATGCATTTACAGCAGCCTTCGGGTTCAGGATCGAGGTGCCTGACTTGATCGAATCGATGAAGGTTATCATCATCCAACTGATTATGAGTATTAGGGCTAGTAGCACGATGAGGAGGGAAAGAGGGGTCGAGCTGGTCGGGGGGAGGGAGCGATTGCTGAGGCTGCGGCTGTTGTTGTTGTTGCTGTTGTTGGAAGGAGAGCGGTCTGAGTAGAACAGGGGATGCGAAGGGGTGGTCGAGGGCTTGATCAGGCGCGGAAGGTTGATGGGATGACGGAGCCGGAGCGGGGCCGAGGACGAGTCGATTGGCAGCCGAGGGACTCGCGCGAGAGGAGTTGGTATGCGAGGAGAATGACTGTTGCGATCCGCGTCTGCCGGGACTGGTGGGGCTCAGATAGCTGCTCCGTCGACGCGACGAGCCTCCTCCGCGCCCCCCCTCACTCCCCTGACTGCCGCTCATCCCTCGACTCATCCGTCTTCCTGGTCCCGCGCCGCCTGTTGGCCCGACTCTTGGTCCCGAAGTTGGCGAGACCGGCTCAACCTTTTGGAATACACAATGAAAAGGAATCAGCTTTACCTCGCCAGTAATCGGGAAAATTAATAACTTACGAGTTCTTCGTCATGTGTAGGTGGTGAAGAGAGAGGTTCGTCGACCGAAAGAGTAGAAGATTGAGCAAAGGAGCCATCGATTCTCTTATGACTAGCCTTACGAAGGAGGAGCTGAGGGCCGAGGGCTTCCCATTGAGAGAAGTTAGAGGAGACGGAGGAGAAGGTAGGATGCTCGGTAGGACTGATGGTCAACAGTTTAGTCTGTTTCTCGATCTGTCTGGCCACCGTGGGCAAGATCAGATCGTCATGACTAGGGGGCTTGAAGTCGGATCCATTGAGCGGGGAGTTGTTGGCTGGATCGACCCTGTAGATCCGGGGGGATGGGTCTGTTGTCCATGGAGGGAGCGCTCCGGGGGTATTATTCGAGGAGGAGCCACCAATGTCTCGGATCGAGCTGGCCGACATGCTACGAGGCCTG